GGTTTAGGGTTTAGGGTAGTAGCTGACGATGAACTGGCTGTTGTAATGTAGACAGAATCCTAGTTGCAGCAAGTTGCAGGTTAACCTTCGGACGTTGCACGATAGATGCGACATACGAGTCGCGCTGGAGTCCTGGCAGCGATGCTCCGTACTTAGCCTCAAAAAGGGACACAGACTTGTCCCCCCGAGCCNNCCCCCCCCCCCCCCCCCAAACCGTCAACTCATCTCCAACCTCTACACCCCTAAACCCTAATTCCCTTAACTGCGACCTGTAGGCCCGTAGGCCCTGAACCCTAGGCTCTTCATGAAACTGTCCCCCAGCTACGGCATCATGAGTTTGCAAGAGCAATCCAAAGTTAGCCCTGATGTCGGTAGCTTAAAGATCAGCAGCAGGTAGAAGACAGCTACAAAGGGCTAGCGGCTAGATAGGGTGATGCTACGTAGTCCGGTATGGTATGCTATGTTATTTTTGTCTCTATAGATACCTGCAGACCGCCTATGTCAGTCCCTCCGAGTTGTCCATGCCCTCGAGACCCAGGACGTACAGAACCGCCCCTTCGAGATGCGGTTATCAGTTACCCCAATGCTCACAGATGCCTATGCATGTACATAAAATTAGCTACATAATGTTGCATGTGTGTGTGTTTTGTATGTGCATATGCACTCGTATGTTTGCATATGTGTGTATACATGTATGTATGTTATCTATGTGCTTGTTTGTGTTTTGTGTGTATGTGTGTTTGGATAGAAGTCCGGATAGATCGATGGATGGCTGTGTGGATGTGCATATGTACGTATGTATGTCTTTATGTATGTATGTATGGATGTATGTATGTATGTATGTATGTATGTATGTATGTATGTATGTGTGTATGTATATTTGTATGTATGCATGGAAGTTTTGAGGACGTCGTAAGCAAGTAACTACGTATGTATGTATACTAGCGGCGGCAAGCACACGAGAAATGGTAACAGTATGGGTGGGAGAGCGGAACGTACGCAAGGATTCTTTTCCGGAATCACTGCATCTTCCCTGATTTCGGTGTCCTACGCCTATGGAGCACTGTAGTGCTTCAGGTTTCCATTCGGCCCCCCCACTTTCTGAAACTTCCAAGTGCCGCCGTGAGGAAAAGAGATGGCGACGTGCTTGCTGGCAGCTCCTTGCTCATGACGTTGATGCGCTGCCGCTGTAACAGACGTTTGCTTTGTAATTACATTCCTTAACAACGACCGGGGCCCGGAATATAGGAAAGTTGGGATGGGGCATGTTTGTGCATAAATGTTCCAAGGCTTGAAAATCGGTTTGATTAATCAGTTTGAGTTCTGGATGTGAGGCTAGAATTTGAATTGACACTTGCATTGCTTTTTGAAGCCGAGCCCTAGCAGATCAACTAACTATGTCCTCTGAACCACTGCGCCTTTTCTCCGGTCTCAACCGTTACTGCAATCATTCCTTTGAACCGCCGGGTCGGCAAAGGAACCGGATCCTTCAGCGTAGGATTTCCTGAAGGCCTTCTGGGTTGCTTGGGGTTTAGGGTTTAGGGGTTTAGGGTTTAGGGTTTTCGAGACGCGGGCGCTGGGTCCGATAAACTCGGACCATGTGTTCTCCTGGGACTCTCAGAAAGTAAGGCGGTGGGATCCTGGTTGAAAAGGTCCCCTGCGCCCGAAACCCCTGTAGACACTGGAGTTTTAGGTGCAGGATTTAGGGTTGGATTCCAGAAGCCTTAACCCCAAATCACTCGCCTCAAAGCAAGTCCACAAGGTTATGCACCGTGCCTGCGCCGTGCCCCTGAACCCGACGTTCACAGAGGCCGGCGGGTGTTTCGAGTTTAGCAAGCCCTGCAGCGAGCCGCAGAAAGTTGGACCATGGGTTTAAGATGATAAGGGCCAGGATTCCTTGTGCTTTACCTAAAGGGCATGAGGAGAATGCTTGTCCAACTTTCTGGCTTCACGTGGTGGGCACATGGAACCCTGAGACTTCGAGTGGCTCCGGGCTCAAGACGATTCGCGAGCCCGGTGTAGATCCCGAAGACTAAGACGGATAGTCGCTCTCAACTTGTATCCAGGACCCCGAGGGCGGTTCGAATGCACGAGCAAAGTAGTACTTCTGCAGGCCAAACGTGGTAGCTCTAGTCGTAGACGGCGAACACCGAACACCGGCTGCCTTGAAGCATGAAGAGCTGGGGTTCGAATTCGAATCCCACGCCCTGCAGCAGTGGCGGCAGATACTCAGAAGCAGAGCAGGTATGCTTTCACCTTTTTGGGGTAGGCAATATATTCCCGATCTAGTCCCAGACGTGAGTCTTTAGCATCCCTAAGGCACTGGACATGTAAGGATATGCATCTGTTGCAGATGCTGCTGCACAACAAAACACAGAGGCAGTGATTGAGATGCTGTCGCAAGGCCACAGAGCAGATATTCAGGACTCAGACGGCAACACGGCTCTCCACTATGCTGCATGGTTCAGGCTCGACTCGCTGCTCACTCCTTTGTTGGAAAAAAGAGCTAGGCCGGACATCCCCAACAATTCCGGAGAATGTGCGGTACATTGGGCTGCGAAGTCTTCCAATGTCATGGCTTTGGATGCAATGACGAGGGTCAACCGGGCTCTTCTCTCGATGCGCGACTGCGACGGCTTCACTGCCTTCATTGTCTCCGCACAGACCGACAATTGCCCAGTGATGCTGGGCTGTCATTAACCAGGGCTCTGTACAGCAAATAGCATGGTTTCCTGACTAGGGCCCTTAAATGCAGTTCCCTTGACAAGAACCCGAAACCCTAAACCCAAACCCACGAGGTCAACCCCCGGGTTAGGCGCATAGGAGAGGTGCGAGAAGCCTCTGAACCCAGGATGGAATGGATGTACCTCAAGGGGGTCAGCCTTGAAGAACAGGACGACCAAGGCAGGACCGCCCTGCAGTGGGCATCTTAGCAGTGGAGTTGGTAACCTGAGCCGTTTTTAGGGTTTAGGGTAACGTTAACCTTTTTGGCGTACTATGACACAGTACCGTTGGTTTGGGGTTCAGGTGTTTTGGTAATACCTATATAACCCAGAAGGATAATCGTTGGTTCCCTTGGTTTACTGGACAAGAAAGGCATGCCACAAGGGGAACAAGAAGACAGTCCAGTGGTTGCTCTCCAGATCTGCGAGTATTGTTCACCGAGACCGAGAGGGCATGACGGCACTTCACTGGGCAGCGATGCAAGGACTCACCCCTAGCAGTAGAGTAAGCAATCTTTAACCTGTATGTGCTACTACAACTCTGTATTACCCGTACATTCCCAAAGGTTAAATACTGGGCAAGGACACACGATAATCACGGAAATGCTCATGGAAGTGGGTGCGGTGGACCTCCTAGACGTGCCAGATTGTTCTGGCGAAACCCCGATTGAGCTCGCAATGCGGAAAAACAAAAGGACCTTGGTGATGGCCTTCCACAAGTGCCAAATCTTCAAGCTTCTGTTCGGCAGGCCACATCTTTTCCAGAATAACTACGCCAGTCTCTTCCTTGGCTTCGTTGCGTTCAACATCATCCTGTTTGCCTTTGTCGTAGCACCAGGAATTGCGGCTAGAAATCCTGAAGCCGTCATGACCTGGTCCATACTGATGGGACTGTCACTCCTGCTCTGGGTGCAGTGCCTCTACTCGGATCCTGGCTGGCTCCAGCCACGTACCATAAACTCCCAGAGTCACCTGATGGGCAAAGATCCAGCAAAGACCTTTGATGTTGAGCAGCCGATCGAGTCGCAGATGGCTCACTGCGACAACGTTCTGCAGAAGCTAATCTCGACATGCGACGGAGAGGCCCCGCAGCTCATGAAGCTGGAGCTAGAGCAGAACAAGTACAACTATCAGCGGCAACTCCTCCGGGAAGCACGGAAACGCCTCGAAGAAGGCTGTGGCCTTGGCGATCCTCGAAGCCCAGCCCTGGGTGAATCCCAGCCCTTGATCGCCGCAGGTTTCAATGATGCCGGGTCACGGCAGGCTCAGCTGGATCGGGCAACGGTGACTTTGTAGCAGAGCAAGGGAACTTTTAAGCTCCTTTTATTTATCAGGGGGGAATCAGGGGGTACTGCGTTACCTACATTCACCCACATAATCCCAAAGCTTATAACCTGTCGTTTCCCCATGAAAAATCTGTGCACGAGCAAGGTGACTCTGCACGAGCGTGAGCGTGCTGCAGGAGACAGCCTGGGCCGCGCTCGGGTGGAGCACCTCCTTGCACAGGGGGGTGGCGAGTATCTTTCATTCGTGGAGAAGGGTGACTTCAAGCAGGTGGGGGCATCACCCCAAAAGCTTAGACAATGGTAGATTCTGACCCTTTGCCTAAATTACCGGGCATCGAAACCCTAAACCCTTACTTACTTAGTTCTAGGGCATCTCCTTCAAAAGCACTATAGGTTTTCTTTTGGGATTTCCAGGTGTGCGTCATCTGCCGCACAGTGCGCGAGTTTCGCTCGCACCATGTGAAGGAGCAAGGCCGGTGTGTGCATAGAATGGACCATTATTGCCCTTGGATTGACACTTTGGTTCTGAAAAAAGTAGCCTCTTTACGAATTTGTGTGCTTAAACCTTGTGGGGTCCTATGGTTTTTTAGCAAGTTGAAAGGTTAACTGTTATTTCTCTGGTTGCTTGTTGCTAAGTAAGGACAACAGCGTTGGCTTGGGGAACCAGCGGTCCTTCTTTGTGTTCGTCACCCTGATGTTTGCCACCGTCCTTTACTTCTACTACACGGTCTTCCTGTACTTCTTCGACACGGTGTTTCCGGAGATTTCCCGAGGCTCCTTCAGTGAGCTTCTCCAGTCCGTGACGAGTGGATCCCTGGGAGCGGAAGTGCAACCAGCTCCTTCGTAGAGTAGCAGCCTTTTTTGCATATTTGGGGGGGTACTAGATGCTCTAAATAACACTAGAGAAACCCATATCTCAGGTCTTAGTTCCGCTAGGATACTAAAACCCTAAGCCCGAGACAGTTTGCCTAGGCTGCTAGAAGCTATACCCTGATAGTTCCCTGAAACTCGCCTTCCGGTTCATGAGTAGTTTAGGGTTTAGAGTTATACATGGAGTTATAAGTCCCCTGATATGGGTTATAACTTAACTGTAGTTCCCCTATTTGTAGGTAGCCCCCCACTCATAGCTACCCCTCTAGTCTCCGCTGTAGTTCCTTATTTGGGTGGCTGAACCAAAAAGGTAAACCCTAAGCACTAAGCCCTAAGCCCTAAACCCTATAAGCCTTAAGCCCGACAAGATCAGGTTCTGGTCCTGCTTACAACCGGGCTTGACCTGTTTTGGGTCTATTTCCTCACTCTGCTCATGGGCAGAACGACAGATACCAGGCGGCACTTTGGGAAAGTTTTTTAAGTCCCCATTATGGTTCCTATAGAGGTACCTATTCGTGAATGTTTTTGAGGACCCCAATATTACCACCAAGGCTAACATGATGGTGATGCTCGGATGTCCAGTTTAGGGTTTAGGATGTTTAGTGGTAGCATGTCTTCATTTTTTGGGTAAAGGTTTAGGGTTTTAGCGTATTCAGTGGAACTGTTTGGTTTATGTTTTATGGGTTCAATTCCTAATGAGAATAGAACGAGGCCGAAAAAGTATGCAGTTTTCCCAGTGAGCTGGTTTACAACCTAGGAACGTGACTACTTACGAGACCTTGATGAAACCCAGCCACGTGCTACGACGCTTCCCGAAGACTCGAGGGAAATGGTGGTTTTTGCAAGGCTGGAGTCTACGATCTGCCTTATCAAATTGCATCTTGGCTCTCAATTTGGGTTCTCCCATACCCAGCCTTTAACCGTTTCGCGTGCTTTATATAGGAACTAGCCTAGGGCCTAGTGATGGAGTGGGTAACCTTTAGCCTTTGTAGGCTATCCTACTCCCCAGTCAGTCCAAAAAGTTGGTCTTTAGTTCCCCCTTGGATGCTGGACGAGTCTTCAAGTAAGAACACCCGACCTTTACACTTTTGGGGGCTCTTTGTGGTTTACTAGCAAACTGGAAGTTGAGCCGTTTTTTCTGGGCTTATTGGGAAGTAAGGCATTATCTACTGGACCTTGGACACCAGCGGCGATGCAGCGGCTTTCCGTGGAAGTCCTCAAGACAGCTTCATGGCACCCGGACAGGCAACGAGGAGCAAGTGGCAAGAATTGCCCGAAGAGCCCTGAGCCTTCAGTGAATGCATGCATGTAGTGATTACAGTAAGAGCTGCGGAATTTCACGCAGACGAACTTCGGAGATCGGCAAAAAGTCCGGGCGGATGCCTGCCCAAGATCGTCCGTGAAGTCACAGCCCTAAACCCAGGAACCCCTACATAACCCTAAGCCCTAAACCCGCATTCGAGGTTTCTGGGATGCTTGTGCTTCGACTGCAGCGGCTGTCGTGAAGCCTTAAGCAGACGTCGCTACCACTGAGCAGTTCTTTCCTATAGCTTCGTTCAGCAGAATTAGGATCTTCAGGTTTAGGGTTTTAGGGCTTAGGGTTTAGGGTTTTAGGGTTTAGGGTAACTTTCGTTCGCCAAACAACGAATGCTCGGAATTGCGAATTAGATAGTAAACTGGATTATGTATTTTGCTATACTATAAGCTTTTTCAATCTGTAATATTGTATACTTTCAGCATATGAATGATCCGGGGAGCTATATATCTTTCCCGACACTACTAAATCGTGGATCCCAAAGCGCCGAAACTGAAACTCGACAGCTACAAGCCCTTTTTAGTACAATTATCTGGAGACCCTGAACTCAACCCGTTTTCGGAGGCAGAGCTCATTCAGAGCTTCGAACAGCTCCTCGGCGGTGTGTCAGCTGTTTTCGGGGTGGCTCTCGGTGAGGGGTTTTCGGCTTCGAGTTTGGAGCTTTCCCGCTTGAGATCGGTTCCACACAGCGAACTTCCGACTCATGAGCCCCTTGATCGAACAGCTTCTTTCGTAAACAAACTCTCGTGATGTAGGGGTTATGGTTGAGGCACAATCGCAGGGAAGTTTTGGTGTGTTTTTGTGGTTGAGGTGAGGTTTCTGATAATTAAAAAGAGAGCCCATGAAAAGGATGGTTTTTCTTCCGTCGTAGCAGGGACCCAGGTAGTGCCGTTGCCACGACATACTAGCCAACAGTTCTGACTGCCCGCCAAGCATGTCAAAGCTCCTCAACAGGGGTGGCAGGTGTTGAACCAAGCGACGAGGATTAAGTTTTGCAGTGCCCAGATTCTACGTTAGTTTTAGCCACTTGCACAGATGCCATAGCCAACAAGCATCAACGAAGCCACATTAAGCACGATTTGATATTTCATTCAGAGTAACTTAAACCCCGAACCTGAAACGGAGTCCTTGTATAAAGCCAGCGCGAATTTGGTTCCTGGGGCCACGCTAACTTCAAGCTCACGAAAGCGCGACCCCGTAGGCCAAATATCTCGTGCTATAAACCCTCTGCTGGACTTGTGGTTCTTATAGCTCTACCTTCAGTTCTTTCAGGATTCCCGTCGTTCCAAATGAAGATAAAAAAAAACTTCTGCCATGCACCAGCAACCCTAAACCCTAAACCCCAAAAGCCCTAAACCCAGCAGGCTGCGCGTGACCGTGGTGATCACGACAGCGGGGCAAAGTGGCATGGCAGCGAGACTCGGCGTCTTTAGCATCTCTCAAACCCTAAACCCTAACCCTAAACCCTAAACCCTAAACCTAAACCCTAAACCACAAAACATCTAAATAACGGCAGGATCTGAGAAACTTTTCGGGTTTGGTTTAGGGTGTAGGTCCAGGTATAAATAGCAGCAGGATTTGGGGAATTTAGGGTTTGGCTTAGGGTTTCGGTCCAGGTAGAAAAGGATCAAGCCATGCAGGATCCTGCAAGGAGGGCCAGGGCTGCCATGCACCTGATCTTTCTTTGCGACTAAGGGTTTAGGGTTTAGGGAAGTTCAGGGTTTAGGGAAGCTTAGGGTTTATAGGGGTTGTCACTTCAGAGAGACCTCGTTCAAAAAAACGGGTTTAGGGAAGTTTAGGGTAGTTTCGGGAGAATCTTCAAAGCTCAGCTCTGACTTCCAATGTCCTCAACCCTTAAAAGGCCCTGAACCCTGCACCCCTTACCCGTAAGCCCCTTAAAGCCTAAATCTGACCCGCACTAAGCCCTAAACCCCTTCTGTAGTTGTGTACGGTGCTAGTGTACTGCTATCCTACAGGCCTTGCGTTTGCGTGGTGTGCTGTTCAGCCCTGTAGGTTGGAGCTAGCAGCTAGCCCCTCTTCCTGCCTGCATCATTCGCGTCGCGAGAGTCTAAGCCCCTAAACCCTAAACTATGAGGAATTCTAAACCTCAAGGGCTCCCTAAACCCTAAACCGCAACTGTACATCCTACATCCTCAAGGGCCTCGCACCCGTACTAAACCGTAAAGCCCCCAAGGGCCTGTTAACCTTTATTTAAATCCCAAAACCCCTGAAGCCTTAAAGCCTCAAGGGCCCCTTACTTTTACTAAACCCTACACCCTCAAAGCCCTAACCCTTATAGACCCTACACCCTCAAGAGCCCTTTAAAAAAAGGGGGGGGGGGCCTCAACTGCAACTCATCCCTGAAGGCGTCAGGGGGCAGAGCAGCTCCGGCTTCGAACCTTGACCCTGGAGAAGGCAGTGCCAGGGGGGGGGGGTCCTTTAAGGGATGTTTTGTTTTGTTTTAAGGGATTCCTTTGGAGGGATGTATGAGGGCCCCTTCAAAGGACTCCTTTTAAGGGACTCTTCCAGAAGATTTGCTTTAAGGGTTCAGTTTGAAGGGATGCTGTTAAAGGTCCCCACCGGCTTATCGAAAAGTCTAGGTTCCTTCGGCATTCTTCAAGGGTTCCGGTGAAGAATTATTTTGGGGTTCGGCTTTCCTGCTGGCTTGATGGGAGGGGTGTGCACAAAGGCTGTTGTGTGTGGTGTTCTTGTTCTGGTGAGCAAAAACACCTACTAAAGGATCAGTTAGGACATATATGCCCTGAAAAAGCACACTTGGGGCTCAACGTTTTGAGGGCTCTAGTTTTTTGTTTTGAGTGCTTTGGCGGTTCGAGGTCTTGCAAGAGAAGTTCGCACAATTGCATGTGGTGGGGTTGCATGCTCCGGCTGCTGCTTAGTCGGTGAGTTGCTACTTGAGGAAGCCCGGTCCTGGGCAAGGTGGGCCTTGCTTGCTTGGGAACTCGGGGCTTATTGGGTGAGCCGCCCTGCTTCTAACCATTGCGCCCCTGGCCCTTTAACTACATGGGGATGCGTATTGTGCATTGTTGAGGGCACGGCTTTTGGCCTGAATCGTCTAGACGCTCAAGTTTTCACGGCCTGAATCCTTATCCCTGAATCGTAGATTCCCTGGAACACTACTCCCCAATCGTTTTTGAACCGTAAACTCCCTAAGACCCCCAAGAAATGCGAAACCTTGAGCTTGCTAGCATCCCTCTGACATGTAGGGTTTAGGGTTTAGGGACCCCCTTTAGGGTTTTGGGGTTTTGGGACCCCTTTTAGAAAGCCTTATAGCACCCTCATGGAGCCTGGAGCAGCGGCGGGAAATCCGTAATGCCTACCCATAGGCCCCTAAGTAGTTCCTTTTTTGGGATTACCTTATAGGATTCTAAATACAAACCACAAAAAGGAACTACTTAGGGGCCTATGGGCAAGCCTAAGCCGCTCATTGCCAGGCTTCCGGGTCCGCCTTAGCTTTGCGAGGAGACGCTGCCTGCGAAACCGAGGACGAGGAGGGGCATGACTGTGCTTCCCAGAGAGCCCAAGACACCGTAAATAAGGAATATACCTTTTTTTTTATGGGGGCCTTGTAATTTGATTTAAGGTATATTCCTTAGTTAGGCTCTCTGGGGGCTTGCAATTTGGGGTTTGAGCATCAGGTTGCA